GACGGCGCAATCGCCGCCTGACGCATTCGCCTTCGCCGCCGCCGCCACCGGCGTTGACGTGGTCGCCGCCGCCGCCGATGCTGCTCGCGCCAGCGCCGGCATCAGCTCTGCTAGGCCCGCCGCCAGCTCTGCGAGATCCTCAGCGCTGAAGAACGGCGCCGCTGGTGGCCCTGACGGCGGCGCCGCTGACGCCACTGCAGTACCCCCCGCCGCCAGTCCCGGTGCTGCGACCAGCGGCGGTGACACCGCCGCCGTCGCTGCATCCGCACCACCCGCAGTGACCATCATCCGCCTTCCATGGGCGTAATTCCACGGCCGCTGCCGCTGCTGCTGCTGCTGTTCCGCTGCCACCCCGCTGCCGCCCAGCTGCCAACGCAGGACCGCCCCAACGCTGCCGAGCAACCAATCCAACCAGTCCAACCAGTCGCTGCAGGGCGCGTGGCCGAGTGCCCCCAGGCCCCTCACCACGCGCGCCACGTCACCGCCGCGCACCGGCTCCGGCTCCCGAGGCGACTGCGCTCGCCGCCGCTGCCCAGCCTCCCTCGCCCCCATCCGGCCTCCGGCCTTGCCGCCCGGTCCAGTCCTGTCCGCTGTCGCCGCCTCGGCCGCCGCCGCTGCGGCGGCGGCGGCGGCGGCCACGACTCCGACGGCGCCTCCGGCGGCGCTTATCGTGCCGACACGGTACGGCGTCGCTGCCCGCCGCGCGGCCGACTCTTCCAGTACGAGCGCAATGCTCAACAGGGCCGACCCATCCGGCGCCACCCCCTCACCACCGCTGCCGTCGCCGGAGCCCTCCCCGGGACCGAGACCACCAATGGAATTGACCGCACCGTCGCCGCCACCAATCCCGGCGCTGCTGACGCCGTTGCCGCCGCCGCTGTTGGCTGCTGCTGTTGCCGCTGCCGCTGTTGCTGTTGCTGCTGCTGCCAGTCGCACGGCTTCCTCAGTCAGCCCGGACCGCACCCGGGTGCAAGCTGCTGTCAGGAGCTCCGGCGGGGGAGATAGGCGCAGCGCCGCCAGGGCCTGCCAGGAGGTCAGGAGGTCAGGCAGGCAGGCAGGCAGGCAGGCAGGCAGGCAGGCAGGCAGGCAGGCAGGCAGACCATTGGCAGGCAGGTGGACAGAAGGCTCGAAAAGCAGATAAGGTCCCTAAACGCGCCCGATCGTGATTGCCGCCTCGGAGGAGAGGTGAGGAGAGGAGAGGAGAGGTGCCGCCGGTGGACTGCAAAGCTCCTGAGGGGGAGAGCACGCGGGGGCCGGCAACAGCCCGCGTGCCGTACCGTGTTCAGATCTGCGAGTGCCTTTCAGATGCCCCCTATTACCTGCCTGCCCCTGGCCTGCCCCCACTATTGTTCGAAGCTCCAAGATCCCACCCACGCACACGCAGCCGGACAGCCACCCATCCACCCCGCCTACTCACCAGCAGCAGCCGACCAACCTCCGCAACCGTCATGCGGGGCAGGGCCGATCGCGCCGCCGCCAGAGCCGCCGCTCGCCAGGCAGCACTCAGGGGCGGCGGCAGCTGGCGTCGACCCAACCGCCGATCGCGCCGCCGCGGCGGCGTCCGTTGCCCTCGCTGCCGCGGCCGCCCCGCCACCGGACTGTCAGAGTCGTCGTTGCCCTCAGCGGCCGCTGTGGTGGCCTCCGCTGTCATTGCTGCTCCGCTCCCCGACTCCGACTCAAACTCCGACTCCGCTCCGCCCTTCCCCGCGGTCTGGAGGGCCGCCCGCCCCTCCAGGGAGGCCACCAGCTGGTCGGGCCGCATAAGACCCAGTTGGGGGGCGCTGTGGAGCTCCCAGGCAGCAAGGGTGGGGCCGTGGCTGCGGACCAGCGCCGCCGAGTGAAAGGGGTGCGAGGGTGGGTGAGGCGTGCGGGCGTGGTCGCGTGCGAGTACAGGTACCGGTAGATGAGAGACAGAGAAAGGCCACCAGACCGGCTGGCAGGTCCGTTGGGGTGTGGATTGGCACAACAGACAGAAAGGCACAGAAGGGTCGACCCCAGCCCCAACGAGCGACACCGTGTCCTACGGCGCGTGCTGCCACCCGCCACCTGAAAAAGTCCCACAGAGACCGCAGAGCTTTCGAGCCGTCGACCAGCCGTCATCCGCAACCGCAACCACCCACCTTATGCCCATGCGGCCCAGGCCCGCAATCATGCAGCTCAGCGCCCGCGGTCCGAAGGAAGGCATCTTGGGCAGCAGGGAGCAGCACACAGCCACCACCATGCGCCGGAAGCCCGCAGCTTCACCGCCGCCTGTGCTGCCACCGGGGCCACCGGTGCCTGGGGTGCCGCGGCTTGATCCGAAGCCGTTGCTACCGGGCACAGCCGCGCTCGTCCGGGCGACGTCCGCCGCTGCCAACGACGGCCCTGTCGCCAGGGTCGGCGTGCCTGGGATGTTGTACGGCATGAAGGGAGCCGCGGCTGGCGTTCGGGGTTGCAGGCTGGGCACGTGCCTGTCGGAAGGGGCGACAGGCCGGGGGAGGTCGACAGGCCGGGGGAGGTCGATAGGTGGGGTTCAAGCAAGTTGGGTTCCGCCGCACCTAGGCCGATACGGAAAAGACGAGACGTGTGGCCCAGCTGCCCCAAGATGTCCCACCCGCGCGCACATGAGGTCCCCGATTAACGGCTATACGCACACCGCTTGCCCCATCGCCTATCTCCGGGTTTCACGCTCCCTCTCCTCCCATCCATCCCCGAAAGAGGGAGCGAGCGCCGGGTGGAGCGCATCTCGCCTCAGAAGATGCAATGAATGCACACACGCAGAACGGCATACGCGGTATGTGCCTGCTGCTGACTCACGTGCGTCCTCCCGCAGGCCAATACGGGAGGACAGTACGGCGAGGACCGTACGGGGACAAGGGTCCTGCGCAGGCCCCGTAACCCCCCGCCCCCCCACGGTACCGGTGTCTCGTTGGGCTTACTTGAAGAAGTATGCGGCGGCATGTTGGTCGAAGAGCGGCAGATAGCGGGGCAGCAGCCGGTGCGCTAGCGGCCGCCGCCAGTGCTTGCAGGCCGCCAGGCGGGTCACGATCTTGGCGGTGGTGCGCGGATGTGGCCCCTCAGGGCTGTCGGCGAAGAGCTTCCGGCGGCGGCGGAACCCCGCGGGGACGACTTCGGCCGCCGCTGCCGCCGCCGTGGCGGAAGTGGAGGCACCAACGGAGGAGGAGGCGCGGTCCGAATCGAGGTCCGCATAGGCAGCTGGGTCCAAGCCTGAAACCAGCTCCGGATCCGAATCCTGTCCTGGATCAGGGTCAAGATCTGGACGTCGGCCTTCACTGGGCTGACAGCGCAGCTGATCGCCCCACGCGAGGGGTTCTGGACGGGTCGTTCGGGCGTCCGAGCCGCGGGACGATGTGCGCGGGGACGAATCAGCCTCGCGCTGCCGTTGGTCCTCGGGGGCGTGTGCCTGCTGCTGATGCGCGTCTGGGTGCGGTTGCGATTGAGGGTGATGCGCCGCCTGCTGCGCCGCTGCTGTCCGCTGCGAATCCGCATCCTGCTGCTGCTGGTGCTGCTGTTGGGTCCCCTCATCCTCACCCACGCTCCCTATCAGCTCTCTGAAATACTGTGTTTGTCCGGCGGGCGGATGCGGACGCGGGTGTTGCGGGTGAGGGGTGGGCACTTACTCACTCGGCGCAGGGCTGTGAGTCGCGCGGCGAGGGGGATTAGCCACGCAGACAGCAAGCGGACCAGACAGGCAGACACCCATGCCGAGTGCTACCGCCCAGCCAGGCGGCCAGCGGGACCTGAGGTCTTCCGTCAGCAACCGTCAGCCCTGGGGTGATGGGGCGCACCCCTAGACTGACTCCACTGCCGCCTCTTTCCTCTGCTGAAGATGATCCATTCCTTCCACAGGGAGGGAGGGAGGGAGGGAGGCTGCCTATCCAAACCTGTCCCCAGCCCAAAACGGTGAATTGAAGCCTCGGAGCAGGAGCTGTATCGCAGCGGCCGTGGAGCCTGATTGGGTCTAGGTCCGTTCCTGGGGTGTTCCTGGGCGCCCCACAGACTCGAACCTCCCGGCGATGTTCCGACACACCGGGCCCCAACTCACCTCCGCGGAGCGTTTGGGGCGCGGGCGCACCCCGGGGGGTTTCGGAGCACGGGCGCGCCGGCGCTCCTTGTTGGCTGTCGCCGCTTCGCCATATTTGTCGCGCTTGCTGGGCTTCCGGGCGGGCAAAGGGTTGACGTGCGCTGCGGCGCGCTTGGCCGTGGCCACCGAGCTGCTTACTTGGCCGGGCCAGCCGCCAAGCATGCTGAAGGCGTACGAACTCCGCCGTGGGTTCTAGTGGTGACACCTATGCATGCTCCGCAAGAGCCTCGTCACCTACGCGGAACTACATCTGCAGTAATACTGCGAAGCTGATAGCTGAATACTTCAAGGTTGTTCAACTAGGTTCCGTGGTCGTCATGTATATCAGGGTGGAAATACGTCTAAAGGGTCTGCATCGAATGTTCCGCGCAGAGGTTAGGCTACGGCCTATCGCGCTATCGGCCGAGAAAACCGTACATTAGGCCGTAACAGACCAACGACTTCTTACTCAACTGGAAATATGGAATGCTGTATCGTTTTTACGACTGACAGTTCGTGACGCGCAGCAGGCTTGTGATCATACAGAGCCATGGAAGCTTGAGAACTGGCAAGCTAAAGATATTAACGCGCAGTCTGCCGCCAAACCCTAGCGCTGACTGTAGTTTGCCAACCCAGAGCGCTGTTCAGACCTATTTCTGGAGGCATTAAAGTTCAGAATATTGAAGCCAGGCCACGCTTGTAAGGTTGCAGCAGCAATTACCGAACAAAGTTTTATTGACAAAGCTATCATTGTTGCAAAGATCGACGAACGGCGCTCAGCCTTCTGCCCAGGAGGAGATACGGCCTTCGGTTCGGCATTGGGTTCGTTGCTTCGTTCGGTCCTAGGTTCACTCCAAGGTTGTCCCAAGGTTCACTGCAAGGTCACTTATGGTTGATTAATATGTATCTATATCTTTCAGTATTATATTATTGCCATGGCCGTGTAGCTCAGTGGATAGAGCGGAGCTTTCCTAAGGCTCAGGTCCAAGGTTCGACCCCTTGCTCGGTCGCATGCATGATTTTAGGGTGGGGTAGATCGCTGTGCTCGTCTCGGGATTTTGGTCCTTATGGCCTCCCACAACAAGCAGCACGGCTCTGGTCTGTGGGAGCCATGTTTTTGCCCCTTACAGCTGCAGCTGCAGGATGGCCCCCAACTTCGAATGTATTCGCCTTCTGGACCAACTGCTCTGCAACCCCGGCACCACCCTTGTAAGGCAAGCTCTTATCACTACTGATAGCAGTGCATGAGGGCATGACTGAGCCATGGGGTCAGTTTCTGTGCCCCATGGGTTGGCTCCCATCAGCGACAGCTCCAAAAATGTGTGACCCTTGGAAACTGCATGGCTCCGTGGCTCACTACGACCACAGTCTGTTCTGCAATCCCGGCAATCAGGGCATAAAGTACTGATGCGCTTTCGATGGCAAGTGGCGCTGAAAAAGTCGCTGGCAAGTGGCAACTTCTTGTGCTTCCTCTATCTTGGTGTTGGTCCTCGGCCGTATAAACCACGTGCCGGGCAGTCATGCCTGTTGTGCGATATGGTTGCGGTGGAAGACGAGGGCAACCTTCTGGAATGCCCCTCAGCCGGTCGATTTTCCTATTGGCCGGGATACGCCGGGTGGAGTCACCCACTTTTCCTAGTACTTAAGACCTGACGTTTGCGCGCCCCCTTTCGACGGAAGTCCGTTTTGTTGGAACATATATCGCTGGCCGTACGTACATGTAACAACCACAAGAACTGTCACGCACTCCGGATGACACGTTCACCACCGACGGAGGGTAGAGGCAAGACGCGAAGAAAGACAGCGAATTACATACTAATATGGGATGACGTTCACGATACACGTAGCTTCTGGGCACAAAAGACGCACATCATACAAAATATTTGGGCAGTTCAACTGTTAAGAAATCTACATACACATAGGGCCGCGCGTTGCAATCCGCTAGCACGGTGACGAAAATAACAGATCACTAGGGACGTGAAACGTCAGAAAAAACACAACACACGGTAGGGAAACACACGTAGGAGCCACCAACTCCCACTCAGAAAACACGTCTGGGACAGACTTCAGCAGCAGCAGCGCGCAGCAAACAGCAGAAAGCGATCGGGCGAATCTCGCCCAGGACCGGCAACGCGTGGACGACCCACGGTGCCCCTTTAGGAAACCCTAATCCTGCCGGGACAACGACGACAGGGTGGGCGTGTTATCACACTACGTACTGTCCTAAGAGAAAGCCACCACCATTAGTTAGCGGGCACAGCCTTAACACGCCCGCAGCTTAAGCCGCCGGAAAGCCGGCCTCGGATCGTTGAGAAAGCTAAACGAACAACAGCGACGTGGCGCCGCCGCCCAACGCCACCCTCGTGGCAAGCGGGAACAGGCCCAACTGCTAGGCAACGAACCTCCGCTCCAGGCTCGCCCAGACTCATGGCAGTCACACACCCCGGAAAGGGCAGGTCGAGGCGCAGCAGCCGTGCTTGCGAACGCCTCAGCAGCTCAAAGGCACATCCACCGTACAGGCGATGAAAGCGCACCCAATCATTCACTGGGGTTTGCGCTCTTCCTCACTCCATCCCACCCCGCCGACAGAAAACTACGCCAACGATGCAACGCATAAGGTAGCTCCTGTTGCCGGCCCAAACAACACGTCACATAAAAGCCGCTCGTTCCCAACCCGCCGCTCCCTTCAAAGCCAAACAAACAGGCAAAGCAAGGGAACCTTACATGGAGCGGAGCGGCTGACCATTCGTCATATGCATCAACACAGTACTTTCGCTTGAACGTTTTCTAACGGACTTGGCTCAACATCAACTGCAACCACCAACAAAAGCCATCAGCCGCACCAGAGAGTTCATGCCACGCAGGCGCAGCAAGCGCCAGGCAACTTCATCCGGTCGCCCACGGCCCGCAAAGCCGTCGCGAGGTTCGCCATCCGCTGCAACTGTTACCCCCCTCCCACTCGCAAAGGAATACAAAAGAAGCACTCTCAAGTACACAAAGCCCATTTCCTTTTCTTCCCGATACAGCCCGCCTCCGTAGTGCTACATGCCCCCCACCATTATGCCCCACGCACGACGGCCCCGCAGCACACAGCCTTTCGTCCGAAGACTGCGCCGACCGGTCATCCTTCAGAAAGCTGCCAATATGCAGAGGCGCGGAAGAGAATGCATCTATCCAACAATTGCCCCCTGAAAAGTGTACACAATACGCGCCGGCGCAAATGCTCAAAACGGGAGCATGGCGGCGCACGACCTCTCCGCAAGTAGGCCAGTACAACCCACACGGTACGGGCCACACCCTTGGACCAACATAGCCCAAGAATGACATGACGTCCCAATCATCGTACACAGTTGGAGAGGCACCTAATGCCCCGAAAGACGCAAAGGCCGCCCGCGCTTAACTCACACCGCCGTCACCTCGAATCGAACAACATCTGAAGAACAGCCCTCGCCGTTGCCTCCTCAGAACGACACGACATATCCCATGTAGGATGCAGACAGCGCTGCTATCGAGGACCTGCCAGGTAGCCAGCCACTGTGAAATGATGAAGGCCCGCTGCCCCGGTATTTGACATGGCAGCACCGCACTCGCGGCCGCAACGCGTCACCGCTCCTTGTGATAAAAAATGCCAAGCTACGACCATCGCCAGTCCAAACGCGAAGGCACAGGCAACAGGCTCGACAACACCAGGGCAAGACGGGCAGTCGAGTCGATGTAGGTAACATCGCACCCAGGCGAAGCACGGGAGAAATCCCTACAGTGAACGAGTGTACATCGTGCAAACAATCCGCGAGACCTCCGATTCGAGCAAAGCCTCGGCCATGCTAAGCGGGTACGACATGCTAAGCGGGTACAACACCCATGAGCCCACTCTCTCGCCTCCGCACCAACCCTACACCCCCACACACAAAAGTCCCTCCCTCCAAAAAGCGCCTCCATGGTTTACAGCCCCATTCCCCCGTGAATTCGAAACATGAAATTTCAGGAAAACCCTGGAACCCACATCGAGCAGCTGGGGCGGCCTCGCCTCCCATCACGGCACAAAAGAGCAGCTACGGAAGGCATCCCATAGTTTTATGATATGCACAACCAACGCGAGCCGCTCCCCCCGCCCTCGTTGGCATTCAACGCACCACCCACACTCGCAAGTTCTCGGAATTCTTTCGCCCTGCTTGAGACAGGGTTACCCAAGCCACTTCACATATATGGGGCGCCCTGTCCCTCGATGGGGGTAGCACGCCGCCGTATCGTACTGCGCGGCAGACACACGCTAGGCTGCTTACGCCACCCTATGGGCAGCATTATGACTGCGCGCAGCAAAGCAACTGTCCTCCAAAACGTTCTCCCTACGCCACCGCCAAAACGCGGTTTCCGTGGCAGCCCTGGCACAGTGCCGTGATTGAGAAGACCGTGCTGTGCTGCCGTGAGCTGCATACCTCGCCAATGTCCGACCGCAACGTCGGCCGCGCGCCGCCGCAGCCGCACTCGCCGCACTTGCCCACGGCGGCGGCGCACTCGGCCTCCATGCACATCCGCCGGCGGCCGCACTCGTTGCACGACGCCATAATCGACAGCAGCAGCGGCGGCAGCGTGCAGTGGCACATTTCGCACGGATCGAGCTCGGCGCAGCAGCTGTTGTTGGCGACGGGGTGGCCATGGCCGTGGCCGGCGTTGCCGCGCATGCTGGGCTTCACGTCCTCGTCCTCCTCAGCCTTGCAGCCCACCACTGTTGGGGGACCGCTAATAGCGCCGCGGCTGCGGCGGCTGGCCGGTTGCGCGCCGACGGCGTTGTTGGCCCCCGTGTGCTGGTCGACCGGCTGCAGACCGCCCAGAGCCGCCATGAGGCTGTCCACCTGCAGTCGGAGGCCACAGCAGAGGAAGCACGCGGCGAACGCTTCAGGTGGGCGCATGTGTGGAGAGATAAGAGCGGTGCAAGCCGAGGACTTGAGCCGGAGCCACAATAACAGACGGAGCTACAGGTCAACAGCAGTCTTCCAGAAATCTAAGGTTTCCCTCCCACATCGCACCTCTCCCAACTGGAAGAGCACAAGGCGCATCACGCTGGGAGTGATGGACAGCAACAGCTGGTAAGGAGAACAACAACAACAACGACAACAGGATTCCTCGGCGGAGCCTCCGCCTAACAGCTGCAATGGCCTTATGCCGCAATTGTTATAATATCGCGGCGACCACGGTCAGAAGTCCCCAACCCCAGGCCCAGATCTCCTCGCGCGTGCACCAGTGCGTGCGCAGCTGCCCCAGTCCCGCCCCGTCCTTGCCACCCTTCGAAAATTGCACGACGTCCCCGCGCACCTGGTAGTGGCCCATCTGGAAGGCCAGGTGAAACGGCGTGACGCCCCCGTCCGAGCGCAGGTGTGTGAAGGCCGCCGGCCAGCCGCAGTGGTCCAACAGCAGCAGTCCCACGCGCGCGTCATCAAGCATGGCCGACAGGTGCAGCGGCGTGATGCCGGCAGGGCCCGCAGCGTCCACGCGCCAGCGGTAGCCGTGGCTGTCGCCCCAGGCCAGCATGCCAGCCAGCAGCGGGACGCTGCCGCTGCGCACTGCGCGATGCAGCAGCGTCAGGCCACGCTTGTCGTTCGCAGAGGGGCCGGCAGCAGCACCCGAGGCGGACGACGGCACCGACGCAGCGTGGATGGCGGCCACCATCTCCGAGGCGCAAGAGCAGCGGGCGCAGGCGAGCGGCAGCACGGCCGACGCGACGGCTGCCCAGCCCATGTCGCAGGCGATAGCCAGCAGGCGGCGGGCCTGCACAAAAATGGTAGTCAAGTCGTTATGTTGCGGAGGCGACAGCAGTATGCTCTGTGCCCTGTACAGCGCGTATCGGGCTTCATACCCATTGCCAACAGTGATGCAACTCAGTGAGTGGGGAATGAAGTGAAGTGAAGTAACGAGACAGAAGTGCAAGTTACAGGATGGACGAGCGCAGTCCCGCGCAGCATGGAACACTGCAGCATGGAAATGCGGACCTTGAGCGCAATGGCTGCATGGG